AGGTGTGACAAATACCAGAAGTTTGGCAAGTTTATTCACCGTCCGGCTACTGATCTGACGGCAATCCACAGCCCAGTCCCGTTTGCTAAGTGGGGCATGGATATCTTAGGTCCTTACACGCCTGCACCATGCGGAAAGCGTTATATTTTGGTGGCTGTGGATTGCTTCACCAAATGGGTGGAGGCTGTGCCGGTCAAAAATATCAAGACAAAGGATGTCATCTCTTTCATTTGGAAGAACATCATCACTTGGTTTGGGGTAACTATGTCTACGGTGTTCGATAATGGCCCTCAGTTTGAAACGCCTCGCCTTAAGAATTGGTTGGGAGATCAAGGGATCTCACATTGTTTTGCATCAGTCAGCCGACCCCAAGCATACGGCCAAGTTGAAGCCTTTAACAAGCTTATCTCAGAGGGCATTAAAAAGAAAATTGAAAGAGCCAGTGGTTTATGGGCAGAAGAATTGATCCATGTCCTATGGGCCATCAGGACAACCACCAAAGGGGAAATCGGTGAACCCCCATTTCTCATGGTGTACAGTGCTGAGGCTGTCTTGCCCATTGAACATTATGAGCCGACTCTCAGAGTCATGCTTTACGATGAAGAGGCAAATTGGGAGGCCATTTTGCTGGCATTAGACTCCCTCCTGGAATGCAGGGGCAATGCTGCCCTGCGTCATGAGATATACCGTCTAAGAATGATGAGAGCCTACAACAAGAAAGCACACAAGCGCCCTTTGAAAGTTGGCGACTTTGTGTTACGAAATATGGAGGCAACCGGTAGGGCCAATGAGCTTGGAAAGCTAACCCCTAATTGGGAAGGCCCCTACCGGATCTATGAAGAAGTCAGGGATGGCACCTACCGTTTGAAAACCCCAGACGGCAGACGCCTACCTAGAACTTGGAATGTAGATAACTTAAAAAAGTACTACTTTTGAGAATTGTAAATTTTTGTAAACAAAGAGTCCATTAATGAGAAATCAGACTTTGTTTTCAAATTGTTTTGTTATATTTATAATTACTTTTCCGTCTGGGCAATACACAGACGAATTATTTGCTAAACCAACTAAGTTCGATACTTAGTGGTGAATTAAACGTTCAAATAACACGCGACCAATGGTTAGATTGAAAAACTAGGCACAAAACGCTTAGTAGCTATACAACCGACCTCAAACAAGATCAAAGCCCAATGGCCGAATGGTTGCTTATTTGATAAAACCACCTGTCCCAACATGGACAATGGCGTCCGGCGACACCCCTCCGGGTGCAATTGTCGCAGAGGGAAGACTCTTTGTCAGCTTTACGTACCTATTCAGACGGCAAAGATTGAACGACCAAATTGGTCAACTCATAGTCGTCTGACCAGAAAAGTCTACATAACGATTAAGTTTCCGAAATACCAGATGCCCTGAGGCATCAGTCCGTTTTCGACCGAAGTTCTTACTTAGATTATTTATTCTAAAACTGCACACTCTCTCCCAAGTGGGGCAAATGAGTTTTGTGTAATGGCTATGCAATAATCCCAGACGGAATATTACCGCCTGGGTAAAAGGCTTGAAGCACCCGTTTAAATGGCCGACTGTGCACTTAGTTGGGGGCAATCACCATTGTGATTGATTGGCCCTAAAACACCTCATACTTCTCCAAGTATCAAGTGTTTTCAAGCCAATCAATCAATTTTATATGAAACCAACCACACAGCTCTCTAGGGGCAAGAACAGTCGGGTTACAAATTGTCGCATGCTTTTTATAAGTTAGGCAAAATATCAAATAATTGCAGTGTATACGCAAAATTCAATTCAATTAAAAAAAAAAAATTCAAACGCAAACCTTTATAAAAAACCGACTGAGTCGGAATACTTCACATTAATATTGAAAATGGCACAAAGGCCAAAATAATTGTTAACCGAAATCACATCCGGTGAAGAAGCAAAAGAAACAAATTGTTAACCAACTCCGCAGTTGGTAAAAATACAACATACTCGACTTACAAGCCGGAAAAGAAAGATAATTGGCATACTGCCGCAGAATTTGGGGAGGCTAGTCTAAGGATGAGGTGGAGGCTGCTGACCCGACTGGTTTTAACCGGTTGGGAGGGTTTTTGATTGATTATCAGCCGCCTAAGGCTGGCTGCCTTTATTTTGCTCATCCTCCGTCGGCTCCTCTTCATTGTCTGAGACATCATATCCCAGCTCTGCAGCCCAATCCTTGAAGCGAGGCAGAGCTGCCTCTCCCAACACTTGGGCATCATACACCGCAGTGGCGTAGTCATACCTAAGTTTATAGACTTCAAAGTCTATATTTGGATAGAGGAGACCCCAAGTTATCTTCAGGCGGGCTGCATTGTCCCGCTCATTCTCCTACATTAGCCGTTTCTGCTCCTTGGAAATTTCATCTACAAGCTGGTTCCGCATGTTGATAATCTCCAACCCTAATCGGGAGACGTCTGCCCGGATCTTCGTGTTCTTCTTGTCGGTGTCTTCTAATGCCTTGAGCTCAGCTTTAGCATCGTTCAGTTTTTTATCAAGGTCATTAGCCCGGCTGTTAGCTTCATCGTTGGTAGCCGTCAAACTCTGGATCAGCTCCTCTTGTTTCAACTCTACTACTTTAATCTTTAAATCACACATATAATTAGCATATTCTATGAAGTTGAGGTTTTCAGTGGCCCTCCGTTTGGCATCATTTACCTCTTCTTATTTTTGCCTGAAGGGGCCACGGAGCCCATCCACCCTCAGCATAACCTGAGAAAAGGGCAGCCGGATTATGAAATACTTGGTGAAAAAAGAAGAAAAACATCATAATTAAGTTGAAGAATCGTTTACCTCAGCTAATTGGCCCATTATCTTATCAAAGTCCACTACCTGTAGATCAGATATGGAATTCTGCTCAGACCGGGTGAGGGTCCTCCCCATCCGTTTGGCAAACCCATGAAGATCCGGCTCGTCGAATGTAAGATCTGCACCAAAAGAAGTACTTGGTGAGAGGGATGAAGCGTAGTTGGCATTCATTCGTTGCCGGCTGCTGATTGAACTCCCTGAAGGGTCAACCTTAGTCTTGACTCTCATAAGTAAAGCGGCCAAGGTAGTCTAATCTTATTCTTACCTTGGGTTTCCGGATAGGGCTTATAGGTATCCTCCTCCCTAGTTGTTGCCACGCCGGCTCCAACATTGGGTGGTTGGCCACCTTTCGATGCCATAGAGGCATCCGACGCTTTGTTCCCTGAGCGTTCTGAGCTTTCACTCAGAATCTTCATGGCGGAAGGTGATTTTCCACCGGTTGTAGGACGATCCGGATTGGCAGTAGAAGTTGTCTGGGAAGGGTTCTTCCTAGCGGCCTTGGCAGCCGGAGTTTTGTCCAGCTCCTCCCCTTGCCTTTTGAAAAGCTTGGAGATGGAGCGTGGAACACGTTTAGTGGCATCCTGCAAATCAAGAACCAAATGTTACCATCTGGCAAAAACCCTTGGAAGAAATTTAAAGGAAAACTAGACAAGTTAGGCGGTCTTACCCCGCCTTTCTTGGCCTCTTTGGCCTCAACAGCTGCTCTCTTAGAGAGCACGCTCTCCTTGTGCAATTGCGCAGCAGACTTAGCCGAAGTCTTCACTGGATCAACCATCTTCAAGGAGTCGGCTGCAAGGAGAAAATAAAAAAGTTAGAGAAAAATAATAAAAAGTTGGAAGTACAAAAATGAAAAACAACAGAAAAGTTGGATGCAAGTGGATCTACCCTTGGGAAACATGGTTCTTAACCCACAGGTGGAAAGGAATCTTTCGTCCTTGAATAGTCTGGGTGGGGGATCCAGTTCTTTGGCACAACGATATGAGTCCCATCCCCTAAGGGCTCAGTAGTGGTTTTGAAGAAACCCGGCTCCATTATTTGCTCCCGGGCCCTAGTAGAGAGCGCCAGGAAAGGACATTTTTTGCCAAGGAGAATCGGTTCCTTATTGTACCGGCACAACATCCAGTTGTGTCTCAGAGTTGGTGAGGAGACCAAATAAAATTTCACCTTCCACCCGGACCATTTGGACACATTGTCCAAAGTCATCAGATACTGGGGCAGAGTGGTAAGAGTATACCATGCCCCATGACCGCTTGGGGCCTTGCTCAAATAGTGCATATGAGCAAAGGCAGAGAAGCTGGGGCAAGATTCTGGAGCTCGCAGGCGGCAATATAACTTAAAATGTTCATCCATGAGTTTGGGGTGAGCTGTCAGACACCCATATCATACCCCTTCAGGATTTTCCTAATCCCAGTATGGAGGGGGAATCGGAGGCCTGATTCTATTACCGCCTCATAACAGACAAAATAGTTGTTTGCATTTTCTATGTTGTCCTCCCAGGCCATAACTGCGTCCCCAGGCGAAACAATGATATCCCACCCCTTTCCAAAGGGGTGCTTTTCTTTGAAAGCCCTGAAGCCACTCTTTAGCAGGGTTATGTCACCCGGAAACATTCTAAACTTCTTCGGGTCAGGGTTGTTAGTGACCTTTGCCGGCTACTGATAGTCAGCCGCAAAATTATCTTGATCGGAGCCAGAGGCCTCAGCTCCCGATCTTTCGGCGGCTTCATTGCCGCCTAAATCTTCCCTGAGTCCATTAGAGGAGGAGGCCTCTTCACCGTCTACCTCTCTTACGCTGGTGCTCCCGGAGGAAGAGAGAGCCTCATCGTTAGAACTGCTTCTCTCCTCCAAACCCTCATGTTCCCCATCCAGAACAACCTCGTCGGCGGGCACTTCCATAGCGCGCCGTCTCTTAGATTTTTTGGTCGTCTGTTTGACTCTAGCCATTGTGTCCTGCACAGACACAGAGAGGGAGGAATTCGGGGATGAGAACAACAGTTCCAACAGTCCAGAAAAGGCACCCCTTGTTCTAGATTCAGCCGAACCTGGAGACCGGCTGAATGTCCTAGGCAGTGTCGAGTGTGTGGATTGAGAGCTCATTTTATTTTTTAAAAGACTATGTATATAGACGGAAAAAAATGTATACAAGTTGAAAAGGAAAATCTAAAAATGGTACAGGCGGTTACCTTACGATTATCTCTGGAAACTCTGAAAACTGCTACAGACGGTGACCAGGTGTTGCAAGGTTAGCACGAGGAAATCTTGATAATTTGATGCAGACGGAACCAAAGAATCTCTCTCTAAAAATCTCTCTTTCTCTCTCTAAAAAGTCAAATGAAAATGAAATAGTGAGGGAAGGGGGGTAAACTTCTATTTATAGAAGGGTGACACAGGGGCATCCCCGTCATACTTTAAATTTTACTAGCCGTTGTTACTGTTCACCTTTGATAGGTGGACACGTGTCACAGGCCTCACGTGACATCCACGTAACTCCTGTGAGGGGCAAATGTTTAGGGTAAAAATACCCTAGATATGTGGATCAATAAGAGAAGGCCACGTGTCAAGTCTAAGCTGGCCCAAGTGGCCCAATAGCCACCTGACACGTGTACCCTTCAGATAGCTTCTGAAATGGCGCCCTTCAAGGGCCCAAATCCTAAGAAGCGTCGTAATTCGGAAAAGCCCACTAAAATCTAGGTCAAGTGACCTAGATAGGGGCATACCTACCAACGACCCTATAAATAGGGAGATATTTCCCCTTTTTAGGGTACATTCAATCATTGATTACACCTACTTTCTCTCTCATCAGAGAAACACCTGAGCTTGGAATCCAAGCAGATACCCACCTAAATTTCCGTACTCTTTTTCCTCTTTCAAGTTACTAACTTGATCTTCGGAGGCGGAGATCCAACCACCCGGAGTCTCCGTTGTTTTTGCAGGTACAACTCAGTCGGACTAGTCTTTGTGACGTAAATCTCCTGAGAGACAAAAACACCCAAAACAATAACGATCCTTTCAAAAAAAATTTCATAGACAATGGTTTGGTTTTTCGTTTTTCTTGTCCTCAGATCATACATCTTCACAAAATGGAAAAGCCGAGAGAATGGTTCACATTCTAAATAATGTGAAACGCACATTGCTATTTCATGCCTCCCTTCCTCCATCTTTTTGGATTTATGCTCTTGAGACCGCAAACTATCTTTTTAATATTTTTCCGACCAAGGTCCATAAAAATATAACCCCGACTCAAGCATTATTCGGAGTCATACCATCCTATTCTCACATTCGTGTTTTCGGTTGTCTATGTTACCCAAATCTCACCGCCATCGCTCCTCGCAAGCTTTCCCCAAGGTCCACTCCTTGTATTTTTTTGGGATATTCACCCAACCATCGTGGTTATAGGTGCCTCAATCTCACCACTAACAAAATCATAACCTCTAGACATGTCACCTTTGACGAGTCAAGTTTCTCATATCAAAACTTGGAAAAATTCAAACTAAAGGATTATGAGTTTTTAGGTGAATCTGAGACATCACCGTTGCTGTCTCACCATTTGTTTTGGCACCACCCCCCCTCACAATGGCCCAACAGCTTCTGGCCCACTTACTACCTATAGCCCACTTCTTTCCCCCTTGCATTCGGCCCAGCAGCATTCCCCTACCCCCTTGCATTCGGCCCAGCACCGCAGTCAGCCCACCTCACCTACACATTCCACACCGCAACCCTCACGCGGCGTGGCCAGTCCACGGCCCAAGCAGCTGTCCCCCCAGCCTGCCTACACCCCTCCACCACTACTAGGGATACCACCGATTCAACCAACTCGCCCCCCGCCACCTTCACCGCCGGTTACTCGTAGCAGCCGCGACATTTTAAAGCCAAATCCTAATTATAACTTAGCCACTTCTTCCATCATACACAAATCACCACTACCAAAGTCCTATAAACAAGCTTTAAATGACCATAATTGGAATGCGGCGATGAATGATGAATATAGTGCTTTAATTAAAATAGGGACATGGATTTGGTGCCTAGGCCCACGGGGGTGAATATTGTTAATTGTATGTGGCTTTTTAAGCATAAATACAAATCTAACGGGGATCTTGAAATGCACAAAGCTCGTCTTGTGTGTGATGGCAGGTCGCAGGAAATTGGCGTGGATTGTGATGAGACTTTTAGTCCGGTAGTTAAACCAGCCACTATTCAAACTGTTCTAAGTTTGGCTTTGGCCAAAAAGTGGTTGATTCATCAATTAGATGTCAAAAATTCCTGTCTACATGGTGATTTACAGGAAACTGTTTATATGCATCAACCCTGGGTTTTGTTGATCGGAGGGCTCCCTCTCATGTTTGTCGGCACCGCAAGGCCCTTTGTGGTTTGAAACAAGCTCCCAGAGTTTGGTACCAACGCTTTGCAAATTTTCTCATCAAATTTGGGTTTTGTCATTGCTAAGAGTGACAATTCTCTTTTTGCTTTCTGGTAGGGTGATGATATGGCATATTTACTCTTGTATGTTGATGATATTATTTTAGCTACCTCATCTAACAGGTTGCGTGCATGGATCATATCTCAGTCGCAAATTGAGTTCCCTATGACAGATTTGGGTCATTTGAGCTATTTTATGGGCATAGCAGTGACCCGAAAACCTTCTTATTTGCTACTTTTTCAGGAAAAGTACACACAGGAGATTTTAGAGCGAGCGTGCAGGTATGGCCTCTTGTAAACCTGCAGCCAATCCAGTTGACACTAAGTCCGAACTTAGTGCGGATGCAGGAACACCTTTTTGGGATCCTACTTTGTATCGCAGTTTAGCAGGTGCTCTTCAGTACCTCACTTTCACCTCACTTTCACCAGGCCAGATATTTCCTATGCGTTACAACAGGTGTGTCTTTTTATGCATGATCCTCGGGAACCTCACTATGAGGCATTGAAACGCATTATGCGTTATGTTCAGGGTTTGATTGATCATGGTTTACATTTATATCCTACTGCTTCTCATCGCTTGATTACTTACACTGACGCTGATTGGAGAGGTCGTCCCGATACCCGTCGTTCCACATCGGGGTATTGTTGTTTTCTTGGGGACAACCTCGTGTCCTGGTCATCTAAGCGTCAACATACATTATCTAAGTCGAGTACAGAAGCAAAATATCGAGGTGTCGCAAATTTTGTCTCTGAGGCGTGTTGGCTTTGTAATCTTTTACTTGAGTTACATTGTCTTCTACGGCAGGCTACTATCGTTTATTGTGATAATGTCAGTGCTATCTACCTTTCTGGCAACCTGGTACAACACCAACGCACCAAACATGTGGAGATGGATATTCATTTTGTTCGAGAAAAGGTTGCTTTGGGACAAGATCGGGTTCTCCATGTTCCTACTAGATATCAGTTCGCGGACATTTTCATTAAAGGCCTACCACGAGAATTATTTCTGGAATTCAGGTCCAGTCTTAGCGTACGACCTCCTCCCGTTACGCCTGCGGGGGTGTGATAGATATTATATTTACGATAATATTTGTCGCAGATTAGGATAATCTTGTATATATTTTGTTATACCTCGTATCCTTATCATAATAGGATTACGACTCTTGTAAACCCCTATATATATTATTCAATGGTACACACTCCAATCTAAGGAGTTTTTCCGAAATCTAACACTTTCTAAATAAAGAGTTAGACATCTACTCACTATGATATTTAAACGGAATCTATAAAGATGTCTACCTTAATGGTTGAATGATTTACATTTCCTTCTTAAAAAAATAAAAATAAAAATAAAATAAAAAAAATATGATGATTTACGTTGATAAACAAAGATATAGTAATATATTGCTTCAGCTTGTAAAATGCAATCACATTACGAAACTATTCCATTATTAAACACTTCATCTATAATAAGTAGTCAATTAAGTAATCTCTTCCCAACTTATCGTCATATTGGAATTAGATAGAAGTATATGACACTTTCAAAAATACACTCGAAAAGGCTCTCTCCAGTTTTATATAAAAAAATTGAGTCAATAAAGTAAACATGAAATGTATCCAATTTATAAACAATCACACTCCATCTTCACAGCAAATGTGAAAACCATGGAAAGTCAACAAGGTCATCTTTTAATGAAACACGAAGTATATAACTTATTTAGCCATGTAACATTTAACTTCGCATATACACTACTACACCTACTAGATAAAGGATCGCAAAATATGAAACGGATATCAAAGAGAAGCGTTCTCCAGTAGAATATAGAACATATTTGTCCAGGAGGTGTTTTGTGAGTTATTAAGACACTGTTCACTTCGCCTTAAAAAAATATTATTAAGTAAAAATAATTTTTGTTCAATAAAAATAAGTTTAATTTAGTTGAAAAAAAATCCAGTTCAAAAAAATTTAATAACTTTAAAAAATATATATAATAGAAAATCAGTAAAAATATTTTCACTTCAGCAAAAATAATTTCAGTTCAATAAAATTAATTCTAATTCAGTAAGTTTTTTTATTTTTTGACACACTGTAAAAATAATTTAAGTTCAGCAAAAATAATCTCAGTTTAGTAAAAAATAATTTTAGTTGAGTTAAAATAAGATGAAGTGAACGGTGACTAAATATAAAACGGTTATCATAGAGCTTGTTTGGCATCGTTTCTAGTTTTTAATTTTTAGTTTTCAGATTTTTTTTTTAAAAAAAAAATATAAGTGTTTCCTCTTTTCTGTAGTCAGTTTTTAAAATTATCTTGATTTTAATTAGTTTGACTAATTTATTATTCATTATATGGTATGTATATCATATGGTTTTACAAAACAAAAAACCAAAATAAAAAATAAAAAAAAAACCCACAGTGATGTCAAACGAGCTCATAGTTAACGGTTCTCTTTTATTTTATTTTTTACTCAAATTATAAAAAATACAAATAATTAATTGTTGTAGATAATATAGAACGGTCATCTTGACAACCGTTCTGTAAATACATTTGTATAAATTACCTTCGCGAGGAGGATTTCTTAATTTTTTTTAATTTTCTTAACTTTGTAAACAAAAACAATAACAAAACTTGTGTAAGCATAATATGGCACAACCTACAGAGAGTGAGGGGTAGCTCAAGTGGTTAAAGTTTCCCTCCCGCTTCCAAGAGATCTTGGGATCGATTCTCACCCCACCCTTGTGGCTCTCTAAACAAAAAAAAAAATGGCACAACCTACGATAATAAGATTTTAAGGTCATCACTCATTGATACATTAGCATTTTCGTAAAAACAATCTGAAAAAAATTTAGGACGGTAAAATGTTTTGTTCTATTTTATTATAAATAGATGAAAGTAACTTTCAAGACATTTTATATTTTTTAAGTAGCAGTTGCAATAAATATAACAATATTTCACTTGACTGTATTATTTTTTATTGATCATTGAGATTTGTGTTTAAAGTTTTAAAATTTACCCTCAGAAATATTATGGGGCAAACATATAATGACGGAGGAAATAGTTAGATAAATGTATACGTAGTTCATACAAATGTATATATAAAACACTCCATTTATTTCGTAAAGTTGTTCCCATTTGATTTTGCACAATTCCAATACACATATAATAGAAAATACAAGTTGATCTATTTGATTAATAAAATTTGTCAACTCAAGAGGTTATATTTGTCTTTTTATTAAAAATAAGTTGGGGGTAAATTTGTAATATGGAGGTTGTCCTCTTCCATTCTCTCTCCTTCATACCTGTAATTCAACCTCCAAACCTGTAGTTCGAAGAGCTTTAATGGAAGAACCAGAGCTCACAAGCACTTTCAACGGAGGATGACGACAAAATCTTTCCTGGGTTAGTCATGCCTTAATTTCTTAGTTCTTAATAGGGTTTTCTTATAATACAACTTATGGTGGTGGACGTAGTCGCTTTGAAAGGAGGAGCCTCAACGGGGACGGGCGGGGGGTTAGGGGGAGGAGGAAAGTAAGACCCATTATTATTAAAACCCCCCTTTATTAATGCTAAAATGTTGGTCTTTGTTACCAATTTGCCATTTGATTGACAAAATTTGTCAATTGAAACACCCTCTACATCATATAACTAATACTCCCTCCGTCCCAAATTACTTGCATCACTTTTCTTATAAGGCCGTCCCAAATTACTTGCAACATTTCTATAAAAGGCATGATCGCACTATTTTTTTAATATTTATCTCAAATATCAATGGCCCACTATTATTTCACTTTTGTAAAAAAATGATAAAAAATTTACACCCCCCACCCCCCCTACCCATACGTACCCCCTGATCTAATTTCACTTCACAGGCCACTTTCTTTCCTTCATATATTTTTTTTTATTTTACTTTTACTTTTGCAATTCACTTTCTCACTCCAAATTATTTTAACCCATTTTCAAGGTTCTTTCCATTCATCTTCTTCCCCAAATCATGAAACAAATTACTGTAGATTTGAGAAAAAATCTCATAGATGATACTGAAAAACATCAAATTAATCCTAATTTAGCTAAAAACAAAGATCAAGACTCATTCATCTACCCCAATTCTGATGTAATTGGGGTTTGGGTCGATGATTCTGTAGAACCATTTTCAATAGTTCCTGAAACTCCGCAAGACGTTCTCCACACTCGAGAGCGTGAAGTGACTACTCCACCGGACGTTTTTCTTCCAAGTGCGTTTTTTTCGGTAGAGCACGAAGAGTGAGTTGTTCCTGACACTCCAGAACGTGAAGTGGCTACCACTCCTGTGTGTGTAGCTCCAAAGCTAATTCGATGTAGTAGCGGACGTCAATTTAAAAATTCGATGTAGTGGCTACCACTATGGTGTTTGCCGGCAAAAATTAAAAAAAGGAATCAAATTTTTTGGATTCACATGTTAGATGCACGTGTATCCAACAGCACACCCACCCCCCCCCCCCAAAAAAAATGCTATGACCCACTTCCACTAGCTATAATAAAAAAAATGCCCACTACCAACTTACATACATTATAATAAACAAGTCAATTACTTTGCATAAAATCCAGCGCCAGTCAAACCGTTGCAACTAAACCGGGACGGAGGGAGTATATAAAGCTAAAGCTAAACTTTTAGCCAGACGATGAGGCAACGACACTTGGCGTTCTAAGTTTTCGCCAAGTTTCATGCCACATAGGATAGAGTTGTATAGAATTCATTTAGTATGATAAAAAAAATTAGTTTAGAATTTTATTTTCAATCAAATTTGGATAGAACTTTAGGATAAATTTGTTAATTTAGAGTTTTATTTTTGATAAAGTACCAATATTTCATATGTACAAATTGAATTATAATTTTATTCAAAAAATAATTAGATTATAACTCACATAAATTATCATTTAAATTTATTTTTTGTATCATAATATTTTTTTAGAGCGAAGGAATTAGTTCAAAATGTACCACATCCATTGTTTATAATATATTCTAATAAATTTAAAATATACTTCACAATCTAATATAATTTTATTACTATGTGTAGATCTATCAATCAGGTCGGGTCATGAGTCATTTTAGACAGGGTCATTATTTCAAGTTACGGGTCAAGAAATGTTTTTCACCAATATTATTATTATTAGTCATTACATGCGTACAAGTTTAAATCGTCACAAAAACACATCAATTCCTAAGTAATTTTGTATCAATGATTAGTTTTAAAATTTGACATATAGATTAAAAATATATCTTAAAATCCATTAAACAACCCGGGCATCGCACGGGCACAAAACTAGTATTATATAAAGCTAAACTTTTAGCCAGGTCACAAGAAAACGACACTTGTCGTTCCAATTTTTCGCTAAGTGTCGCGCCATGTTGGATAGATTTAAATGGAATTCATAAGATAAAAAAGATAATTTAAAATTCTATTTGGATAGAATTTTAGGATAAAATTATATAACTAATATATAAAGTTAAACTTTTAGCTAGACTACGAGAAATTGACACTTAGCGTTTTAATTTTTCGCCAAGTGTCACACCACGTAGACTACAATTAATAATAGTATGACACGTAGGGTAAATATGTTGTATAGATTTAGATAGATTTTTAAGTTAAAAAAAGGGGTAAGTATAGAGTTTTATTTTCAATAAAATTTGGATAAATTTTAGGATAAAATTGTTGGTTTAGAGTTTTATTTTTGATAAAATATCAATATTTTATATGTACAAATTTAATTATAGCACAAAGTTTCATATACGACTGGTTGTACAGTGTGGCCAGCCATATATTTTTTTTAATTCTTCTTCTCTCTCCTCTTTCTCTCTCTTCTTTTCTTCTTCCATCACCATTTTCTACAACAATACCTTGCCGACGTTCATACTTTCCGGCGACCCTCGACCTCTTCGTCGCAACATCTCCTTTTTCCCCCAATTTTATTTCTCTCTCCTCTTTTTTCTTCAAACTTCATCAATGATGTCGTCTTCTTAGCCCAAATTTCTTCAAACTTCATTAATGGTTTACTATTGGAAATTTATGTTCTACGAAATTTATGTTGA